CTGTAGTCCCAGATACTCATAAGTCTGAAGTGGGAGGATAGACTGAGCCTCCCAGATACTCAGAAGGCTGAAATGGGAGGATTGATTGATGGAAGTGGGAGGGAGGTTGATGCTGCAGTGAGCCGTGATTGTGCCAGTGCACTCCAGTCTGGGTCGTATAGAGACTCTGTCTCAAGAAGTGTGGTGGCTCAGGTCTGAAGCCTCAGCACTTTGGGAGGCCGAGGTGGGTGGATCACTTGAGGTCAGAAGTTCAAGACCTGCCTGACCAACATGGTGACATCCTGTCTCTTCTAAAAATACAAAAAATAGCTGGGCATGGTGACACACATTTGTAATCCCAGCTACTTGGGAGGTTGAAGCAAGAGGATTGTTTGAACCCAGGAGGTGAAAGTTGCTGTGAGCCGAGATCACGCCACTGCACTGCAGCCTGGGTGACAGAGCAAGACTCTGTCTCAAAAAAAAGAAGGAAAAAAATCCCAAAAGACATGTACATTGATAATTATGAGGAATTGCTTAGAATATTAGATGTAAATAAATGAAGACAGGCTATATTTGTGAATGGAAATCTAAATATTGTGAAGATTTCAATTATTCCACAATTTATCTATAGGTCCAACCTCATTACAATCATGGTCCCTACTCTTTTTTGGGTATAAATTGATAGGCTGATTTTAAAAGTTATGTAGATTTAAGAAAACTAAACATACTCTTACCATATGATCCAGGCAATTGTGCACCTGAGTATTTACCCAAAGGAGTTGGACACTTGTGTCCACAAAAAAACCTTCACACAGCTGTTTATGGCAGTTGTATTCATAATTGTCAAAACTTGGAACCAGTCAAGGTGTTTTTCCGTAGATGAATGGATAAGTAAATTGTGATGCTTCAAGATGATGAAATATTTTTCAGTGCTAAAAAGAAATGAGCCATCAAGCCACAAAAAGAGGAAACTTAAATGCCTATTACTAAGTGAAAGAAACCAATCTGAAATGCTCTATATTGTATGATTCCAAATGTATGACCTTTTGGAAAAGGTGAAACTAAGGAGACAATAAAAAGATCAGTGGTTGCCGGAGTTTGGAGGTGGGGACAGGGAGGAGCCATTAACAGGTAGAGCACAGGGGAATCTTATGGCAGTAAAATTACTCTATATGATACTGTAATGGTGGATACATATCATTATACATTTGTCCACACCTACAGAATGTACAATGCCAAGAGTAAACCCTAATGTAAACTATGAAGTCTGAGTGATAATGATACATCAATGTAGGTTTTTCAGTTGTGACAAATATGTCACTCTGATGGGAGATGTTGATAAAGGGGGAGGCTGTGCATGTGTTGGGGCAGGGGCTATACAGAAAATCTCTGTACCGTCTGCTCAATTTTGCTGTGAATCTAAAACAGCTCTAAACAATTGTCTATTATAAATTAAAAATAAAATATTCAACTTTACCAATAAATAAATTTTTACCTAAATATTATATAACATGTGAAGGATCTAAAATAGTAAAGATAATTTTGTTTTGTAAAATGACATTGTAGGATTTGCATTACTTAACTTTGAGGCTTACTATAAAGCTACAGTAATAGAGACTGTAATAGTGGCATAAGGACATATATATATATATATATATATATATATATGTCAATGAAAAGAGAGTCCAAAAATAGACCCACACATGGTCAAGTGACTTTTGAAAAAGGAGCCAAGGTAATTAGATGAGGAAATTATATCTTTCTTTTTTTTTTTTTTGGCAATTATATCATTCTTAACAAATGATGCTGAAGTGAATGGATATCTGCATGGAAAAAGAAAGCTCTTACCTAAGCCTTTACTTTACAGCAAACACCAACACCTGCTAGAAATAAATCATAGACCCAACTGTAGAAGCTAAGACTATAAAATCTCTAGGAAAAAAATAAAAAAGATAGTAGTCACAACTTTGGTGTAGGCAATGATTTCTGAAAGGGACAAAAAATATTAAGCAAATTGAATGATTTAATAAATTGTATTTAATCAGAATTAAACACTTCTGCTCTTTGAAAGCACTCAAAATTGAAAGTTAAGCCACAGATTGAGAATAATACGTATTATAGTAAATGTACTTGACAAAGATCTTTTCTCTAGAATATGTATTTAAATCTTATTAATAATCTGGTAAACAAAGCAAAACGAGCAAAAGATATGAACAAGAGTTTCACGAACGAAGATATATAAGTGATGATTAAGCACATGAAAATGTGTTCAGCATCATCAAAGAAGTGCAAATGACACCACCAATGAGATATCACCACAGAAGCACTAGAGTGGCTAAAATGTAGCATATTAGATGTTGATAAAGCCATAGAGCATCTGGAACTCCTATATATTGCTGTGGGGGGAATGTAAAATGATACGACAACATTGGAAAACAGTCCCACACTTGTGTATAATTACATACCTGATAATATAACTCCTAAGAATTGATAGGAATAGAGAAATATAAACATTTCCAGGCAACCTCTGTGTTTAAATAACCATAGCCATTTTATTTGTAATAGCCCCAAACTGGAACAACCCAAATTTACTTTAATAGGTGAATATATTAAAAAATTGTGATATAGCCATATGATAAGTGAAAGAAGCCAGACACCAAAGATTACTATTTTGTTATTGTATTTACATGAAATATGAAAATAGATATAAACTATAGTGACCAAAATTAGATCTGCATTTGCCTTTTCCTGGGAATGGAGGTTTGGGCATTTACTCCTAAAGGTCAGAAAGAAATCTTTCTGAGATTATAGAAAGAGACTATATATTGGGTACTTTGTCAGATGAGTGTATACATTTAAAAATGTATCAAATAAGCATATTTATTGTGTGTAAATTGTACTTTATTTAAGTTTATCTAGAAAAAAAATACATAGCTCTGAATATACTGGTTCATTTAAATTTGGGTTAAGTATTTAAGATTTTTTTTCCGTGTGTTGAATCAAACAAGTAGAGTTGACAGTGGAGGTCATAGCCTCATTCTCGAGTCATTTTCATGTCAAATAGGAGCTTGGGCAACTGGACTGACTGCAGAAAACTGGGTGCAAATATTGGTTATAAAATCCTGGGAAAATGCGAAGGGGATGGGAATAGAAGGAACGTGGTATATTTTCATGCCACAATTAGAGTTAGCAGCTGCATAATTCTGATTTTCCTTTTTATTCATTTCAGATTAACTAATTTGACTTGAGGCCATAACATGATTGAGTAAAAATAGTCGTTCTGAGCATAGAAATAAATTTACAAGGTTAATTTAGGGTGTCTCTCTGTTATTAGATGTATCTGAAAAACACTTGTAGGCAAAATTAGACCAAATTAAAAACACTGGGGTTTCAATTATAATCAACATTTAAATATAAATTTTATTATTGTTTATTATAATAATAAATAATGTAGTGTTTAAATGTGCAGTCATGGGTCAGACTACATTTTGCAAATTTCCAGAGTAAGGTAAACAGATTATAAAGCTTTCTGGTATAATATTAACAGAACTAAAAAACATGAATAATATTATAGAATGGACTTTGCCTAGTGATTCTTAATCAATTCTCTTGGAACCAATACTCTCTTAATTTTACTGAAAGAAAATTCATATACAATTTAATAACTTTAATATAATTAAATCAATACAACATCTTAACTATAAAATAAAAAAGATAAAACTATCTGTATAAGACAACATGCATTTCAATATATAAATGATTGGGTAAAATTACCTTAGGAGAGAAAATGAAAGAAAAGTTTGCACCTACTCTTAGATCACCCCAGTGTAATTGATGGGACATTGATATTGTGCTGGTGACTCAAATACCATGAGCAAGGTTGTCATCAGTGATGTGCTTCCCTGAAAGCTCATCTTTACACCCATTGACAAATAGGTGGAAAGTCCAAAAACGCAAAGTAAATTATCTTCTCAATTTATATAGCAGACGTATCCTGGAAAACAAAAACACACGAAGAATTGGTGTGTAAACAAATTTAAATTAGGTTTCAAATATAACGCAAGGTTTTCTTGTTTTGTTTGATTTCATTTGTTTACTACATAAATGACCAGTGGCCCATTCAGAAGTCCAAGGACAAAATATGTTGTAGGATTGTCCTGACCATTGAGAGACAGCTTGCACCCTAACCCCACAGTACACTAAGACCCGCAGTACCCACTGTTCCTGTAGTAAACCAAAAGACATCCTGGGACTTACAAAATCCATTAAGGAGTTGTTTCAAACCTTATAAGAACCACTGACCTAGGCCATAAAAAACAAATGAACAAACAATAACAAAAACTAGGAATGGCAGTAGTTCTGTTGAGTTAAAGAGGAGAAACCAGGACTGGCAGAGATGAAATTGTGTCTGAAAGGAAACCATTACAAAGGCCTTTATTTCCATTAAGGAAATGTCTCCTGACTGAAATGAAAGCCTTCATTTTAACCATTTCTTTGTTCAGAAACATTTTAGGGGCTCCAGGGGGGCTGCTTTATTTTGCACTCCCTTTATTGCCCTGCCAGCAGCCTACCTAGCAGTAAGTCCCCGGCCTGCAGTGCGGCCTCCCTAGAGGCTACCTTCCCAGGGCTGGTGACTTCTCAGACACTCTGGCCTTGGGGACGTCTTGGATCTTCTAGCACACAGTGGCCGCACACAGTTTTGCCGGGCCTTTCTCAAGAGGTAAAAGTTCCTAGTTGTTTGGATTTTCCCAAAATAATGCTTTCCATGTGTAGGGATTTTACAGATTTCGAAGTGCTTTCATATCAATTACTTTCTTTAATTTAAAAGGAGTTCAGATCCCAGGTCAAGCTAGGAATGCTCCGGTCTCAGAGGGAAGGAGCGCTCTAGGAAAGGAGGATCCTTTAATAGAGGGCCGTGCTGGGGCCGCGGGCCCGGAGAGGGGGAGAATGGAGGAGTGTCCTTTTTCTCCCCCACCCTCCGGCGGCGGCCGGGCCAAAGCCAGAGGGGCTGTCCCCTCCTCTTCCCCGGCAGCTGCTCGCTCTGCTCACAAGCCAGGGGCAGGGGACCAGGCAGCAGCGACTCCTCTGGCTCCCGAGAAGTGGAGCCGACCGGTGCCACTATGATGCCGGGAGCCGCCGGGGTCCTCCTCCTCCTGCTGCTCTCCGGGGGCCTCGGGGGCGGCCAGGCGCAGCGGCCGCAGCAGCAGCGGCAGCCACAGGCACATCAGCAAAGAGGTACAGTCGAGGCACGGGCTTGGGTTGCATCCTTTGCCGGGACCCAGACTCCTCACTTCCATTCTTCCGAGAGTTGTCTGGGGACGCTGTCTTGCTTCGCCTTCAGAGAGTGCGCTTTGGGGCAGGAGGAACTTGATGCAAGTTCAAGTTCAAAGCCCTGAGAGCGTGGTGTACGGGGAATTACCCAACTTCTGCAAAAGGAACGGGGAGTGCCTTTCATTGCTCACTCGTTTCGAAGAAGTCTTGCTACCAGGATATAACCTGTAAATTGATTTCTGAAATCTTTTCAAGAGGAAAACTTTTACCAATTGAAAAAAAAAAAAAAAAGAATTTATTCAAATCAGATCCAATTTTGCAGAGAAAGGTTTCCCAAACTGTGCTTCATCGTGGGACTTTATGGAGGGTATCAGGGTAGCTGACACACCTTAAAAAACAATTACACACACACACACACACACACACACACACACACACACACACACACACATATACTAATTTTGCAGAACTTTTTTTCAACTTTTAAAACAGGATTTCTGAAGAAGTTATGTGGTTTTTTCTTTCATGGCAATGGTGCCTCCAGCCTCACCTTTTTCAAACCCATGTCTTATTTTCATATCCTATTTTGTAGGGAAATCATGAAATTTCTCCTTTTGCTTAAATACAGAGTAGACTTTTATGTCATGTGTACTTTAAGGCCGCAGTGACTAGATATACACTTTGGGAGACTTTGGAAGATGGCTCTATTTAATGTAACTTTATAACTTATTCTCCTCAGAGCCGCTTAGTGTTTATGTGTATATACACATATGTATAGTACTGCTAAAAGACTTGGCTAGACGTTAACTAGAAGAAGGGTAAGTATATTTCAAAATTTTAGCAGTTTAAAGTTTCAGAAACTTTTTATGTATATAGGCTCCCAAAAGTTTCAGAAACTCCCAAAAGTTTGGAGTGAACACTTTCGGGAGTCTTTGAAGAGTTATTTTATTATCATGAATTTTAAACGAAGCACTTGTGCACTATTCTAAAATATACTTTGAAACACATTATTTCAGCAAACAATTTTGTAAGTTGGAAAACCTGTATCAAAGCAAAAAAAATTTAAGAAATATTTATGCTTTGATTTTAAATATCAAAATGTTTAATTTAAGAGTACAAAATCTGTAGGTTAGAAGCTTCAAAAATTTTTAATGAGGCTGAATCTGCTAAAGTTTTGAAATATACTTAACCTTCTTCTACTTAACTTCTAGCCAAGTCAATAGTTGATATTTGTTCCTGTAATCTAGCATTTTTAGCAGTACTATTTTTTTTTAAGGAGTAAAGAGATATCCTAAGCTCCTTCTATAATAATAACTCCCTGATTAAAATTCTTGGAATAAAAATGACCTTGAATTCATTATATGACTTTTTTTCTTCTATTTTTCCTTTTGCTTTTCTGAGAGGTTAAAATGGGACCGATATGGCTTAATTAATAGAATTTATGAGACAGTGATTTTGAGAGTATCTCTGGCCACTGATTTTTAAAAATGCTACTTTTAATGATTAAACTTTGCTCAATTACAAGATGTGTTTTAACAAGACATGATACTTTAATAATGTGAGGCAGCTGGGAGAAATTAGGGGCCAGGGGCACCAGCCCTTATGTTCACTTGGAATGGGGCAGAAACTCAAAGCATGCAGAGTAGGGATCAAGTGAATTGTTGCTGAGAATTATCCTGAGCACATATAGAATCTCTCTTCTTTCCTCTCCCTTCTTATTTACTCTCTTTTTAAGCTAAGGTAATATTAACTCTGATTTCTATGACCCAAGCACAAGGTGAAGTTAATTCAGGAGGAAGGGTTTATACTGCCATTCTGTTAAGATACCGCTTAGATGCTATATAAAATAAAGAATTTTATTCAAAATAACTACAACATACCATCTACTATAGACTGCTATAATCTGCATTCTAGTATCCATTATTGTCTTTGTTATAGAACATTTACAATATATTTGGTGGTTGGCTCAAGATAAATGATGTAAACCTGTTAATGTTAAAAGCTTGTAAATTTCATGAAACTTTAAAATTGGGTAGTGCTTTATGATTAAAAATACCGTATGTATATGATCTTTATTTGCCTTCAGATATTATTATTCGCAAAGGACAAATTTAAAACTTAGGCTTGCAGTAGTTGTAACTTAAGTTTACATAAGAATAACTTAATTTTCAACAACTAAAACACTTCTGGTATTATTTGTGCTGAGGTCCCTTTTTAATTGTTCCAAGGTTATTTTCCATTTATTTTTTAGGCCATGTTTCTTTTCAGTATTGTTCAATTAAAGCAAGCCCTTTGTGAACATCATGGGATCTGAGTTTGACTGGAGAAGTGTTTTCCTGGCTATAACCAACTTTTCTGTTTTTGATTATACTAGCACTGACCTTTCTAGTCAAGTGCTAATTGTGTAGAAGTTCTATTTCCCCTTATTGTTTGGTGACAATTTATTAAGAATTTTGATGTGAAGCAATCATTTCTAGATGTTATAATTGAGTTAGAAACATAACCAGAGTTTTTGCTTGTTTTTTACTTTTTCTTTGAAATCTTATGTGGTTTCTATAGCATACTGTATTGTGGTATGAATAGCATTGATTCAGCATGAATGATATTCCAAGGAAATTATTTAGCTATATTTAAAATGGACAAAATAGGAGAATGATGTACCAAAATGACTCTGCATTTCAGCAAGGCAGTGTCTAATTTTTTTTTCTGATATTCTTGTGAATAATATGTGGAAATGGAAGCACAATGGTAGATAAATTGTAACTGATTGAAAAATAGTTTCCAAAGAATATTGCATAGCGGATTAAGGACAACCTGGAAAGAAGTCTCTAGCAGTGCAACAGAGGTTTTCTTATGTTCAACTATCTTGGTAGTGGCTTGATGGAAAACATAGAATCCAAGCATATCAGTACTGCAGGTGGTCCAAAATCGATATAGGTGGCTAAGCTGGTTAATAACAAGTTCAGAAATTTTAAAGGTCTCTATAGCCTGAACCATGAATGAAACCTACATGAAGCTGGTTTTATTATTCCTATCCACATGTTAAAAAAAACTCCATTTGTCTTCTTCTGGAAATTAGTTGTATCCTTCATATGTTTAGGAATGAATATAAAGGCAGGAAGAGAAAGGCCGCTCAATTGCAGCAAGTTCAATATGAACATATAATGTGATATGGCAACAAAAATGTTGGCTCACATTTATACAAAACTCAGAGAAGCACATGGGTCTGTTGGTTAACACACATTCGGGTATTTCATTGAAAAATGGGTGTAGATTCAGAGAAGGGAGAGCAGAATGGTTAAGAGTCTGATAAGATTTTCAGAAGAGGAATGTCCCAAGTAAAGCTTTTCCATCTGAACAAGGAAAAATTTAGGGAAGGCAATCATCAGAGATATCCTCAAATTTTCAGAAGAGTCGTATGTGAAAGAGGGACTATTCCAAAGGCTGAATGTGGATCCATAGAAGAACATGACAAACAACCAGGTTTGAATTTTATAAAATGGAGAAAACTGCTCTTCTCCTCTCTCCCTCCCCACGCCATTTTGAGCTGTTCAGAAATAGTTAGATTGTGTTTGAGCACATTGCTTCTGGAAATGATCATGCTGTGATCAACTAGTCAGGGATGCTCTATGAAGGAATGCCTCTACTGAGAGGAAGTTAAGACTCATCAACCATCTAGCCATTTTTCAGTTCTAAGATTCTAATATTATAGTCTATTGTTTTTAGAGTGCCTACGTGTATTCAGTTTCTGAATTTTTAAAATGTGAAGAAAATGTTAAACATATAAAAATGTGTATTTTAATCCCTTCTGGGATTTAAAATAAAAACATGTTTGAGATAATCCTCACACATATTGGGCAAGAATACTTAAAAATTTAGTATGGAATTTCCACATCATCCACAATTGTACAGTTCTAAAACATCTTGTGTTATAACATGCAAGAATACTTTATAAATTACCTGAGAAATTTTCAGGGGATTCATAGTGGCCATAAACCTGGAAGTAACTTTTTTTGATGTTTTTCTTTGCTGCATATGTAACTTTTTGGTTTGTTTGCTGTACACTGACCTAATAGTTTAGTAAAATGATTCATAACAGATAAAATGCATGGCATTTCAACATATTCAAAATATTTATATAAATATATTCAACTCTGAATATTGTAGATGTGGTAGAATTAATGAAATTGACATAAATTTTATATTATGTTGTATTTCACATATCAATGTATACAGATTTCTGGTCTATCTTAGTCTTAAGATTTTTCTACCTAGGATTTCATGCAAACTAATGAACTGAATCTATATCAAGAGATTCTGGGGGCTGGGTATGTTGGCTCATGCGTGTAATCCCAGCACTTTAGAATGCCTAGGTGGGTGGATCACCTGAAGTCAGGAGTTCAAGACCATCCTGACCAACATAACGAGAACCCCATCTCTTAGCCAAGCATGACTGCACGTGCCTGTAATCCCAGCTACTTGGGAGGCTGAGGCAGGAGAATCACTTGAACCCTGGAGGCTGAGGTTGCAGTGAGCCAAGATCATGTCACTGCACTCCAGCCTGGGCAACAGAGGGAGACTCTATCTCAGAAAAACAAAACAAAACAAAAACTTAAAAAGAGATGCAACTTATCATCTGTCCAGTTTGCAGTAGGGCCTAATTTATCATCTAGAGACCATATGAAAAAGATTAGGAAGAAATTCTTGGAAATAATTATTGTAAATAATTGCACAAGTGGTTTAACTTTTAATCTAGAAGATTGGGGTTTAGGATTTGTTTATAGTTGCAACTTGAAACTTGCAACTCGATAGCTGAACAGGAATTTAGGCAGAAGCTCTGTTGCAATGAATCAAAAAACAAGATAGAGTTTAGAGAAAGATGAAAGCAGATTGTCCAGGCTTATATATCAAACAGATAGAAATAAAACTAATTCTAGGGTTTTCCCATTGGTAAGACTGAATTT